ACATTTTTGGCGGGGGCCAAACCTTGAGGTGTTCGGCCCCCGAACGAGACCCCGCACGCCCGAACGTTCGGGGGCCAGCCCGGGGGCCCCCGAACGTTCGGTCAGGTAACCCTGTATATATATATATATATTATTTCTTTTTTTTTTACGTATTTTTAGGGGTATAAAAAAAAATTAAGAAAACAGGCTGCGAACAGGGCCACATTGGCCGCCGCCGCGGCCGAATTGCCCGCGGCCTAGGGTGCAGGTGTCACGTAGCGGTGGAGGTAGGAAGGGATGAAGAGTAAGTTATGGAATAGTCACCCATGGAATTCCATATCGATCCCCGGAGGTTTCTGCGGAACCAATCAGATTACTTCGTGCGAGAGGTATCGTCCTTACACAATGTCCCCTGATGGCTTCTAATACCTTGAAGTTGTTGATGGGGATCAGTAGGGAGTTCCAGTATAGGGATTTAGTCAGGAAGGAGGAGAGCATGAATAGTAGTGCGGAGCAGGACCAAGATTTAGACGAGAAGGAGTGGGGGTAAAGTACGAGAGAGTGGGGATTGAAAAAAGTTACGGATGAAGGGGAGAAGGCGCGAAGAGGAGGGTGAAGACATCATGGGTTCTAGYATGCAGCRGGTGGAGCTTGCATGCATATTGCTAGTGCAGAAAAGAAAAGGACACCAAAACCGTTACGTTCCATCCTAAAGCTACTTCAAGAATATGAAATTCAAATGCAAGCCAATCGCACAGGCTTGAACGCGCGAAAATCCTGCATCTATCTAGTTGCCTACTGAATATTCACAGATTTTTCAAGGGCTGGTTCGTGAAAATCCATATGCAAGAAATGACAGGTCAGCGAGAAAAGCATCCGTAAATCCCGGAATTCCCAATTGCGGAACAAAATTCCTAGTACCTTTGGCTCTTTGCTAAAACGTGAGTAATTCCTACGCAAATGCATGGATTCTTGGAAAAGAAATTGCAACAAAAGAAAATGTCGTCTTAGATACTGGCCGACGATTCCATAGGAAGATAGCAAAACGAAGGAGTACCCAATGAGAGTCAACGGGTCAGATTAACAAAATTTGGGGCTTCAGAAAATCGTATAGGTATGGGTATGGTACGTCACAGACACCCCCCCCTCTGGCCACCGGTGGCCGCGAAAGTCGCAGCCGGCACAGTCATGAGTGCGAGCCATGGCCCACGGCCACGACAACCGGCAGTTTAAGGGGCATACTTTAAGTAAATGGAAGTCGGAGGGGCATTTCAAAATTTTGTCTCTTTCTGAAGACTGAAGTTATCCCCCCACAAAACAATTCCTAAGGAAACAAGGACAATCAGTGTCTATTTATTTATTTATTTATTTATTTGCTGTCCTATTTRTGTCTRTTCAGACTTYTTTTCGGACTTGCAGTCCCCAAGGCAGTGCCTTGGGCCTGGGGACACCAGGGGGCCAGGGCCAATAGAGGCCAGGCGCACATTTGGCGCCCTGCTGCACCAGCAGCACGGTCTAGGCCCCTGCCCGGGCCTGCCGGGTGTCCAGACCGTACGGGTCATTTTCCAGGCCACGCAGAGGCACACCAGCCGGCCCAGTGCTGTATATAGCTGGGCCACGACCAGGGCAGACACACAGTTCAGGTAGCTCACTTCTTGAGCGACACGCTGCTGGACTGGTGCTGCGCTGCTTAGCGCTGCGCCCAGAGAGTAAAGGTAGAGGCGTAGGTAGGAGAGGGGAGGAGGCCATACGGCCCATACCTAGCTGGGACTCCGCGTGCACGACCTGCACAGGACGACGACGACAGACGGCCAGTGCACAGTGGCGGTACCTGCAGGAAAGACAGCGAGGAGGTCTACATCTTCTTCTTCTTCTTTGTCTCGCCTCCCTCTCATCTCGCTCCTCCCTCCTCCCTCCTTCTTTTCATTTTCTCCTTCAAAGAGAGAGAGAGAGAGATTACAGCCTTCACAGGCAGAGGTTACATCGGGCATATAGCCCAGGATCTGATTCGRCATTCTTGAGGCAGAAATTGATTGGACATTCGGCAAGGGACTAGTTTTGGACTTTTCTATCGCGATTTTGGTCTTCTCCCTCGGCTTCTCCTTCGTCTCACCTCTTCCCCCATCTCTCATCCGKGGTACCTCCCCCCGTGTTCGCGTACAAGGAAGGACCTTTCTTCTAGATGTGCGGTCCCTCCTCCTCCTCTCACATGTGTGATGTATGAGGGGATGTCGTGTCAGTCCCAAACAGGTCAGGTCTTATCATTGAGTCTTCCACTGCACTACATTGTGATGTACATTGCTTGTTGATGCTTCGCTGACATTGCATTGCCCATCTCAGTCCTTTTCAYCACTTTGCGGATCCTTGGCTCCATACACATTGCCTAACTGGGCATGTGTCAGTAATGCTCGGGGTGCTGATAAGAGAAATCACCGCTAGCACTACCGGGGAGGCTCCATCTATTGGTGGGCCCGGTGGGGAGCATCACCTGCTGGAAACCGGGTCCACCGTCCCTGAACATTGTGGTTGTGGCCGTTTGTTTGAGCTGACTTGGGACTGTAGTGACAACTAGCGGCACTGTCCATTTACAAGCAAGGATTTTGACAGGCAGACCAGCACTGCACCCTATGTTCTGACCTCTTTGTCTTTACTTGCCTATTTCAAACGGAAAGAGTATCACGGCCACAGTTTTCCCAAATGGGGTGGACCCCTCAGGAAAAAGGATGGAAAAACCGTCCGGCCAAAAAAAAGGGGCAAAATTTTTTGGAAAGCTGGAAAGAAGTTTTGCGGGGACCCCACCGCGGAGGACCAAATGCGCTTGGAAAACCCTTTGGAAATCAGTTGAGCCAATAGTTGCCTGTCTCCGTCGGCACTCATTTGTTCTGTTATTGCTTTCTTTGTTTTTCCTTTTTTTATTGTGGCACTCTTGGTCTCTATTGGCTGCTGCCTCCCGACGCTCCCGTGACACTTTTCCAAGACTTTTCCAGGAAAGACACGCCCTCCCCCCTACCCTCTAGAGTTGGCACCAAATTGCGGCGGGGAATCCTCCCGTGAGACTTTTCCAGTCTGCAGACTATGTGAAAACACAAAACTTAGTTTTTCCAAGCCGCAATCTCTGTCTGTGGGATCCTGGAAAATGGTTTGCGGGAGAAATTTCACCTTTCCGTGGACATATGCTGCAGGCTGCTGGGGTCCCGGAAACTGTTTTGCGGCAAAGTTTTTCCTTTCCTCTTTCCTGTGAGGTCCAACCTAATGTCTACTTCATGTGGCTGCAAAATTGTGTGGTGGCCAATGTGCACCCTTGGCCGCCAAAGAATCCGTGTGGGGCCACAACGAGTCCRGTATGGCCCAACGGTCACAACAAATATGCCACASACAGTCTTCACCCCTGAGCTTGCATGCAACACCACTGAGTCTAGACTGTCTAGTAGGTTGACTGAGGGTTGGACTTAGATGAAAGGGGCTAGTAAAGGGGGGTACTGAGAGGTGCAAGACCCCTCCTTCGGATAGTGACGGTTCGTGACGGATCGTAAGGGGGGTACATTCCTCAAGGTAAACGGATAGTGACGGATCGTTAGGATCTAAGTAGGTGAATTTGTCCATAAATCGGCAGAAAAAAAACAGGAAGAAGCGGAGACAAACCTGGAGAGGATGGCGGAGGTAAATGAAGATGGAGAAATCTCAATCAGGATGAATGTAGATACAAAGGGAATGGCAGGACGAAACTAAAGTCAGCAGGGGTTCGAATCACGGTTTGCTAACGCGCAAGTCTTTTTCCAAGTGATGGCSAGGATAATAGATTCCAATCGAACGCAACAACACAATTGACAGCACACACATCAAACGGCCGAAAGAACAAAGACATTTTCAAGAACCAAGAACCAGGCAGGAATCGAACATAGAATACAATTGTAAACCAAGGTTTTGAGTTCAGGCTCATTCAGAAACCGAATCGAAGCAAGCATTGCACAGCCTATGCCACGGTTTCAGGCTCATTCAGAAACCCGATTGGGGTCCCGGACAAAATAAGGGGCACAGCCAGGGAAGTTTTTGTTGGGAAAGGAGGGGAAAAGTGGCCATGAGGGCAGTTTCGCAAATGCGCATTTTGACATCACATCTCCTTGTGTGGAACTGTTCACGCCTTTTTGCTTCCAAGACTGAAAATTTTATTTGCTGCTTAGATCCCAACCGGCACCTACTTCGCAGCATGGTGCGATGTTGGCGTTGTTTCCCTGAGTCCCTCAGATCAGATCTTAGAGCGGAGCAAAGATGACGGCAACAAGAAAAACATCTCTTACAGCAACGGCATGATCATAACCTCGTCTACCTAGGGACGACATTATGGACAAAAAAGAAGAGAGTAAACTTTCTCGGCCTTTTGGCTAAAAATAGATCAGGTGCGATGCATGCGTTCTGATAAGTCTAATATCTGATCCGTGGACCATGGGGCCACAT